CTCTTGCTCAGGCTGGTTTCGAACTCCTGAGCTCAAACAATCCACCTGTCTCGGCCTCCCAGAGAGCTAGGATTACAGGTGTGAGCCACCGCACCCGGCCAGTATACATGTTTTTAAAACAAAAATAGCATCACAATGTGTTTTTACTTTTATAACTATTTCCTTAAGACTTCATCACGATTGCCTATCCATTCTTTTTTATTCTTCTGTGGTTACATTTTATTGCATTGTGAGAATTTCCATAATTTATGTAACTACTCCTCTATTAATTTAGGTGGTCAACAGTCGTTTGCTGTGATAACAATGCTATGTTAAACCTCTATAGTGCATTTGTGAGGTTAGTATATTCCAGAATTTTTTGATCATGGGTCCCTGTTTTCAGAAAGTGTCTTACATCAACAGTGTTTCATGGTGGGAAGCACTGCATTATTTTTTGTATTTATAACATTTACAATTTTTTATTTGTAACATTTCAAACGGTTAATACTAGCCCTCTCCCAACCTAGTCCAGAACATACATATTCCTACCCAAGTGAGTAATTTTCTTCTATGCCTCCTCAGGCAGAGAAGATACTGAGTGACCGGGAAACAAATGCTATGCTATCCTGGTGGAACTCTAATTGATAAGATACCTGTTTGGGAACCATAAAGTCAGAGTGTTCTGCGACCTCTGGAAGGTGCTAACTTTGCCTATGAACACTTCTCCACCATAGACACATCCAGAGCTTCTGGTCTCTTTTATGCAGTGGTTTAAAAACAAACACATGTCTCTACACACACACACACACACACACACACACACACACTAAATGGTAGTGGACAGTTCTCTCCAGGACTTAATTCTGAGAAATATTATTTTCACTGAACTGAAAACTATTTAACAATGTATCTGTGTTTTAATGGCCAGTCCTTCAGAGTTTTCTAGCAAAAGTGTTGCCTAGGAGATAATTTCATAAAGAATATTCCCGCTTAGAAATAACCTCTTACACATATGCAGTTGAACTAAACACATCTGACAACACCATTATGTGTTTTAAGACCTTGCAGCTTAGAGGGGTGGTCCATGTACCGCCAGCATCAGCAACACCTGGGCACGTATTAGAAATGCAGAGCGTCAGACCCTCTTCAGAGCTTTAATTAAATTCTGCATTTTAACAGTATCCCCGGGTGATTAATAGGTATATTAAAATCTTTTTAAAAAACCACTCCTTTAAAAGACGACTGAAAGAGGATGCCTCTTTTAAAAATAAACTTTTTATTTTGGAATAGTTTTAGATTTATAGAAAAGTTACAAAGATATCATAGAGGGCTCCAGCATACCCTCACACCCAATTTCCACTGTTGTTAACATCTTACATTAGTCATAGGATACATTTGTGATAAATAATGGAACAATACTGATCCATCATTGTTAACCTGAAATCCATACTTTATTTGAATTTCCTTCATTTTTACCTAATGTCCTTTTTCTGTCCCAAGATCCTATGCAGGATACCATGTAATGGTATC